GGGCGACATGTGTGCGAGTGCCCTAGTATGTAAGGAAATAAGGAGAAATGGTGAGAAACTTACCAAAAAAAATGGAGAAAAAGGAGGTTTAAAAGCCACGGAGGTGAGAATTAAGCAACAAGGGTAAATTAAACAGCAGCAAAATTTCCCAGGAGGTGCTAATGTGGGACTTGTAGGGATGGCTAGTGATCAGCGCTGGGCGGTCCCATGCCTGTGATGGCAGCTCAGTGATGATTTCTCATCCCATGCTCCTAAGGAGAGCATCCACCCTCATCTATCCACAACTGGAACCCAAATCAACAAAAAGAACAGAAGGGAAATGCAAGAGGGACCAGAGAAACATGCAGCTGGGAGAAAAATTAGATGGGCCTTTTTGTGGGTAGGTCTGTCCCGATCCAGTGTCAGGGGACGTTTAAATATGATCCCAAGAGCAAGACTGAGACACAAACTGAGGTCAAATGCCATACACCCAAACCAGTTTTTATTATTAAAAGTGAAGAGGGGTAGCGATAGGACAGAAAGGAAGGAAACGACAGAAATCAAGCAAGCATGATTTCATGAAATCAATCAGAGTCGCAAGAAGAGTCACCACCATGAATCCAGCAGCGTCCTGCTGGTCCTCAGTCTTCAGTACTTTGGTGGTGGGTGCACACACAGCAAAGTTTTCTGTTGCTTTTAAGTTCATCGTATCAGCTGATGAGCATATCTGCCCACCTTTAGTTGTTGTGTTGGTTTTTTTTTTCCTCTGGTCCCACAGGTTTTTGCTGCAGAAATGCTGGCCTCTTATCAGTTCATTAGCAATGCATGGATGGTGCCTGGCGTAGGCAACAGAGTACGTATGGCTACAGGATGGAGCCACTGACAAACATTTGGTTTCACTCAGTCCACATCTCCCCCTTTGAGGCTTATCTAAGGAGTCTGACAATGCAACTGCAAGGAAGTGGGGGTGGATCCTTCAATACACTCCTGCTTCCTTGGGTGACACTCCTTAGACTGATCCGGAGGCCACAGCTTGTCCTTGAGGTTTGCACAGACACGAGCAAGCTTTGAGACAGTCATCTGACATTTCAGTCTCTCACAAGGTCCCACCGTGGAGACGTCCATCTAAGGGCTGGTGAAGTTTTCTCCATTGTTACCATTGCTCTCAAATAGCAAATCATCACTCATGTCCTGACAGGGAGAGGTTGAATGACTTGCTGAAAGCTACACGGAAAGCCTGGAATAAATCTGTGTATTCTCATTTCCCAGTAGAAATCCTTCCCATGCCGTATCATCACTTCCTCCCAAGCAGGGAAGATGGGGATTGTGATACTGCAAAGACAGACGCGATGTAAGATTACACCCATAGCGTGGCTCCTTTCCAGAGGAAGGACGCTTCCACAAGGCCTGGTGGTCTCCCACAGACACAGCAGGATGACCCTCCACCGCTCCATTTCCAGCCCAGACCCACGTGAAGTCACTGTAAAGGTAAAGTCCTTCTTCCTATTTTGACCTGATGGGTTTTGTAACAGCCTAGCTCCATCATGATGTTGGTTTTTTGGGTTTGGTTCTATTTTAGTCCAATCCTCAAAGATGATCCCGTGACTATTAAGCGTTGTGAAGGATGTTTGAACAGTAGCAAGACCCTTTAGTAAGGATAGGACAGGACCTATCTGCAAAGCAGTGCCTGCCAAAATGTAGACAGTGCCAGGAAGAGAGATCGAGAGGAAAGGAGCAGAGCAGGACACTGTCACTGGCAAAGAGCAAGGTGAGACCTTCAGAGATGGCTCCCTGCAGAGAAATGAGTCTGTCTGAGGCTTGGGTGTAGTCTGAGGTGCTGAACTGGTCCAAAATAAGCCTTTCAAGTTCCTGCTCCTCAACCCCTCCTGTTAGATTAAAGTCTTCCTTGGAGAGATCCCAACACTTCAGAAAGAAAATTGTCTCTTTCTGAGTTAGACAGCTAAAATAAGTTAGATAAACTCATGGTGGAGGTTTGTGTTCCCTGTTGTGACTCTGAAGGGATCCTCAGCTGCGTAGTCTGGACTTCAGCATCCAACCTTTAGATGCTGAAAGCCAGGTGAGATCACAGAGCGAGTTTGGATGGAAGGGATTCCTGGGGTCTCTGCTCCGGCCCCCTGGTCAGAGCAAGGCCAACAAGATCAAGTTGCTCATGGTCACATCCAGGTGAGGTTTGACTGTCTCCAAGGATGGAGATTCCTCCCTGCCCTCAGAGTCCTGTTCCATGGTTTGACCACTCTCATGAGGAAAAAACATTCCCTTGTATGTTACAGGAATTTATTTTGTCCTGGCTTGGAATGTCATCTCTTGTCCCATCACTGGGCATCTCTGAGTCTGTCTTCTCTCTACCAGACCAGCAGGGAGCTGCAGAAAGCTATATAAACCCTCTCTGCCCTCACTCCCACTGTGCACACCCAGCCCTCTCCCCGCACAGCCCAAGCTCGAGCCCTGACCACCTTGGTGGCCCCACTGGCTCACCCCCACCTGCAATGTTCTGCCTGATACTGGGGAGCCCAATCTGGATCCAGCGCCAAGATGGGGTGAGGGATCACTGCCCTGTGGGCACTAGTAAGGTGTGGGTGAAATCAAGCCCTGCCTGAAGCCTGGGAGACCCACAAAGATTTCAGGGACAAGAAATACATTGACCATGGTTGCTTTTTTCTGCATTTCCAAAGTATCAGAGGAGGCTGAGGATATAGGGGCCCTGAATGCTTTCCAAGGTGGGGAAGGATCAGCTCGGGGCTGGATGAGGTCTGTAGAGCCTGAATGGCTTCAGGATATCTGGCAGCACTCGCTTTTACCTCTTGATTCAACCATCTGTTGGTAGCCAAGACCACCAGGTGCATAAGGCTGACCTGGGTAGAGATCAGGGCTCAGTGTTTGGGCATGTCACACACTGCTTAGCTAGTTTAGTACTTCAGAGGAACAGCTCTGCTCTTCCCTAAGACAAGCCTCAGATTTCATTTTATCTGCACACAGCAAGGAGATGCATCTTTCTTGGCTCCTCCTGACCATCTAGAAATCTCTGATCCCTCCCTAATTTAAGCAGGAGATTTCAAAGCCCTCCATAAGTAGGTATTTTTCTCTCCTGATTTAAGGAAGTCAAGGAAATTGCATATCCACAGCAGAGAAGGGCATAAATATTTATTACCCAACTGAGCCTTGGTTCACTCCTTTGTCAGCTCTTCCAAGGATCTGACTCGTTCCTAATAAATCCAGAATATTGTCATAATAAGCCACAAGCAAGGACCTGGGACTCTTTGCAATACCACTGCTTGGGGAACCATCAATATAACTGCTCCAGGGCTTAGTCTGAATTTTCTGGGAGCTGAAAATACTTCCCATGTGTCCGGGTGTCCTCAGGGCTCAGGTGTGACCCTTTGCACTAGCAAAAACCCAAAAGGACTCCCTGGCATGGCTCATCTCCAACAAGGACAAGACTACAGGATGGAAAACACCTTGAAACATCATCTCTGGACCAGGGATGTCCCTGCAAGGACTTTCTTGGTCGCACCATGCACTCCCCCTTCCCTGACCGTGCTGGGGACTGCACAGCCCAGAAAGAGCAGAAGCCCTGGACCTGCAGATCTCCTCACAGCATTTTGGAAATTTCTGGTCACCAGGAAACATCTCGTCTCCAGGCAACAGAGCTGAAAGAGTTAAAAGCCTCGTTTGCTTTCTCAGAGCAGACAGGGTCTCGACATTTGTAGCAGAAGACAAAGGATGGGGAGAGGTTCAAGTGAAATCAAAGCCAGTTTCAACTCAAAGCAACCGGTGTCTTTAAGAAAAGAGCCCTTGGGGTTTTACCAGAGCCCTGTTGTTTCTAGTGACTCTGGAAAATGGAGTCTAACAGATGTAAATTCCGCCTAGCCCAGCGTCTTCCTAGGGCCTGACAAAGAGGAGGGATTATTTTTCAGCTAACACCTCTGATTTGCTTTTGCCAAGGGTTGTTTTCAGTTTTGTTCTATAATTCTTGGCCGTGGTGATCTTGGGGATTTGAAATGCCCCTTAGACAAGCGAGTGATGCCTTTGTGTGTGCGCCGGTCCTTTAGCAGTGGATCGGCTTTTTTAATTCAGTCTGTTAGTGGTATTATTCTGTATCCTGGTTACAGCGAGACCCTTGGTTTTCTCAGGTCTCTCACAAGATGATTTCTTTGTTTACCTTATCGGCTTGTCAGTTCCCTGAGGAATTTTTCCCCAAATTTCTGATTTTTTTTTTTTCCGTTCAGTAAATTGCAGCTCTTTGCATATGACTAGGCAAAGGTTCAGCCTAGGCAAAGGTTCAGACTGTGCCCCTGCTTGGCGGTAGAAATGCAAAAGGGAGATAGCATTTCCTTTATGCACCCACACAAATGTGTGCAAGGATGCATGTGGACACTTTTCTCCATCCATCCATCCATCCATCCATCCATCCATCCATCCATCCATCCATCCATCCATCCAGGGCCTGGCAGAGGCATGAGGTTGCTCACGTACCCCCATGCTCAGCAGTGAAACACCCTCCTGGTGTTTGCCCACCTCCTTGGCTGTGACCAAAACCCACCCACACCATATCACTTGCAAACACAACTGGCCTGCCCGTGCTTGTCCCTTCTGCTTGTCCCTTGCTGCCACGGTTTGTAAGGGAATGGGGAAAATACAGTTTGTCTGGCACACACAAATGCCTCATCCTCTCTGCAAACACCGAAATATTGCAAAACTTGAGAGACAGGCACTTGGAGGGAGGATTGGGCCCTGAAGGGAGTTTACTTCCCAGATTGGGTCATAAAAGCATGAAATCCTCAGAGTTTAACCACGTGGTGAGTCACACTGGCATAAAGTCAGTGACACTTCCCAGCAGCATTCCTCTCCTCCCCATGCGGGCGGGTGGCTGCGGGCAGCCACCGCCGCCACTGTACGTTGCACAATCCCCTGTACTGTACCACCGGGTAAATACTGACGTGCGACTTTGCACTTTGCATTCACCACTAGCGGAGCTTCCTTCTCCTTCTGAGACGTGCACACAGAGCCCAAGATGAAGGTTGAGTTTGCTCCGCTCTCCGTGCCACTGCAGAGGAGGCTTCAGATGGCGTCGGTGGTTCAGTGGGTCTTCAGCTTCCTATGTCTAGGTAAGAGACATCTCCTTGTCTTTCTCTGAGAAGCCAGAGCAGCTTTTGGCCCAACCCCTTCTGTCCCCAGCCCCAAGGAAGACCTGGGACTGAAGGAAAGTGGCACTAAAGGCAACTTCTGGGAGCCTGCAGTGAATCCCAGGCTGTGTTGGGACAAGTGATTAGCAGCAGATGTTGCACTCGAATGTCTGTCTCGCTGTGTGAAGAGCAGCGTGGGAGGCTCTGTCTCACTAAAGCAGTTTTTAAATTTTTTCTTCCCCCCCCCCCCGGTTTCTTCTCGCCACCCATCTGAGCACGGTGGCACTAGGGGAGCGCCTGGCTGCTTGCCTGTGCATGGGACTATCTACGGCTCTTACGCAGCAGCTAAACCCTGAGTGGGGTTTCAGCTTCTCCTGCTGTTTTTTTTGTGGTTTTTTTTTTTTTTTCCTGGTCTAAGGTGCTGATCTGCTTATCGTTTGTCATGAGAAATGGCATTCCCATGCCTGAGGGATAGTACGATGGAAAGAGTGTGAGGGACTGTGCTTTGCAACCCTGGGAACAGACATTTCACTTTATAGAGATGCCCCTGCACATCGCAAAAGGGCTTTTTTCCAGGAAAAACCAAGCGGGCTGGGGAAGAGACATTAACAAACCGAGACCCAGACAAACTTGCTACTGTGTGAAGGGCATCAGGTGCTGATGGCAATGAGAAACATGCAGATTTAGATAGGATGCACTGGGAAACCAGTGACGGGAGACCCGGAGGCAGGTTATCAGAGAGTGCAAACTGCCTGGGGTGATTTACAGTCAACCTGGAAGGTGACATCCTAGAATTTGCCATTGTCATGTTAATTCTTAATCTCAGATGGGATCTATGTAAAGCTTCTGCTTTATTGTGGTAGGATAGTTGCTGACTAGTCTCAATACACAGAGGCAGCAGATTTTTGTGTATGTGTGGGTCCTGGCACACAAGCGTCTCCAGAATAATACCTGTAAAGAAAGCACAGGCTATGCTTCAGAGTTACGTTTCTGAGATGGCTCCATCCAAACTCTGCTACAGACCCGGGGCGGAATGGCCACCTCCACACCTGTTTCTGATGGACTGGAGCACTGGGCCATACTGGTCCCAAAGGTGCAGCTGTTTGCACGTTTCTTGGCACAGGCTTGGCCCATCCAAACCACAGGTTGGCACAGTTTGGGCAACGGCAGAGGCCAGGGACCGTTGCTGGTAGCCAGGATGGGTGAGGCTGCCCTTTATTGGAAGAGAATTAGCAACATGGACATGACCGTTCGCCTGCTGGGTCAGCAAATGGGCTCTGCTGAGTTTCTTTGGAGAGATTTAACCCCTTGGGTTGCTCTAGGACAAGCTGGAGGACATCCTTCTCCCACTGGAGGGGAAATCCCAGTATGGCAGTGGTGGCACAGCCCACTGAGCCGCTGCAGAGCACGGTTATGGCATGGCAGAGTGCTGGGCACTCGGTGCCATCCTCTACTGGCGTTATAAACCCTGGGGCTCTTCCAGTGCAGAAGAGATCCCAGCTGTGATCAACCTTCCCCCGCGCACCAGAGACCACTTTGTAGGAGGAGACACTGCAGGGGAGGAGAGATCTGGCAAAAGCCTTGGACCCAACCCACCAGACTGGGACATTTTGGGGTGCTCTGTAGCTCCCTGTCTGCCTCTGCACCCATATTTCCTTCCAGAACAGGATGGGATGTAGTAGAGACGTGGCCTCAGTGTTAACAAGGGATGCAACACATCCCCATTCCCAGCATGGATGCAGCTGGGGCTTAAGGAGCTTTAACAGTGTTTTCCAGCAAAACAACTTGTACTTTCAGTTTTTCCCTTCTTGGTATTGGGAGCAAGCTGACACTTGACCTTTCAGTGATGGAAATTGCTTCTGAAGCCAGCAGAAAGCCAGGAAATGGGCAGGAAGGAGGAATCCTCTCCAGTCAGAGGGCAATGTGGAGCTACTCGAAACTCAGTCTCTGCCTCCTGAAAGGAAATGCAGCTTGCTCTGAATGAGACCCAGATGCACACCTCCTCCATGGGTGGCCTGCCAGAGATTACCGGTTTTCCCTTGAACAGTTTGATTTTCTTTTATTTGTGACGCAATATAAAACAAAAAGCAGTTAAGAAATGCTACGAGAAAGACATTAGAAAGGTGGTAACGAGACCTTATGGAGCGATTCCAACTGGTTTGATTCATTTTACAACGTTGAAGTCTAGAGTTTTCCACCCCAAAACTCCCAGGTTAACAAGTGCAAAACCTTGATTCTAAGGGGTACCTTTAACTTCACCCCATGAGCTGTCGAACGCCCCATGCCACACTCAGTCCTAACCCTGAGGCACAGAGATCAGACCTTCCGTGGGCCAAGATTTGACCACCAGCTGCTCCTTTCTCTCTGAGACAGGCTTGTGCTCCCGCTGCCAGAAAAGGGCTCCCGAAAACACACTGTCAGCTGCCGCCAGACATCTGCGCAGCTCTTCGGCTGGAGACGGCAGCAGCCCTGGTCGCAGGCAGCTGTTGCTATGGTTGTGCGAATGCATCCCCTGAGAAGCCAAGCGCCGGCCGAGGGGCTCATTCATCCATTCTCTGCGGGGCACTGGAGGAGTGCAGCAGCTCGACCCCGGTGCTGGCAGGGAGCTCTGCTGCAGCATCTCTCGCAACAGGCAGGCATTGTCGGGGCTGCCTGTTTTCTTGAGGATGCTCCTGGCAAGGGCATGGAGACAAAAGGTGTAGTTTGCTTCAGATGCTGACAGCTGCTGGAAAGAAAGTGCAGGGTGTAAAGATGGGATGTAGGTCATGGAGAGGGGACCCCTTTGCTTCCCCACTGCAGGATCCCAGTACTCACCAGTGCCCCCTTCTAATGCAGTGGGGTCAGGCTTCTGTAGGGCACCAAAATCACAGAATCACAGAATCGTCTAGGTTGGAAAGGACCTTGAAGATCATCCAGTCCAACCGTTAACCCAGCACTGACAGTTCCCAACTCCCCCAGATCCCTCAGCGCTGGCTCAGTCCCGACTCTTCAACCCCTCCAGGGATCCCGGGGACTCCCCCCTGCCCTGGGCAGCCCATTCCAATGCTCAACAGCCCCTTCTGCACAGAAATCCTTCCTGACATCTAGTCTAAACTTTCCCTGGAGCAACTTGAGGCCATTACCCCTTGTCCTATTGCTTACTACTTGGTTAAAGAGGCTCATCCCCCCTCTCTGCACCCTCCTGGCAGGGAGCTGTAGAGGGCAATGAGGTCTCCCCTCAGCCTCCTCTTCTCCAGACTGAACCCCCCCAGTTCCCCCAGCCGCTCCCCAGCAGACCTGTTCTCCAGACACCACCAGCTTAAATCATCAGGCTGGTGCCCAAACCTACCACACTGCTTCCCACTGCCTCTGTCATTCCTGATCACCATGAACTTGGGCGCAGGCATCCACCCAGACACACCATGCAGAAGTACTAGCGTAGAGCTGAACCCACGCAAGCAAAGGCAGTGCAGGGGCAGGAGATCTGTGTGTACCACCTCTGCAGATCCAGCATACGAACACGAGCCTTTGAACCCTTTTGATTAGCAAGCTTGGCTCAAAGGGCACACAATGCCAGTGTGAGTTGGGCCCCCTTGGCCACCGAGCGTAGTCCACAGCTTAGGAGAGCCTGGCCAGGCTTGGCTGTGCCAAAGGGAACAGCACCCATGGCTGTCACCATCAGGGACTTGAGGCTGGCACTGGGGACCTCAGCAATGTGCATGTTGCAAACCCTCCTGACAAATGCAATATGAATCTGACGCACTCTGGGGCTGCTCTGATGCCAAAAATCTCTTTCCACAAGCTGCTGTTTTCCCTCTTTTAGGCTGGATGAGCAAATGCTGGGTTAGCAGCAATGTCGGGCCCAGCAGCACTTTGATGGGACACGGTCCTGTTGGACTCGGCCAGAAAAGTCCTCTGTGTGCTTTGTAGCCTGTGGCTCACTTGGAGTCCATGGAATATATCTGTGTGTTTGTGATATGACCATGCTTTCTTCCAGAGAGAGACTTGCAGCTCACAATAAAACTACTTAACCCAAGTTATTTGCCACCAAACACTTTATTTTTGCTCTGAGCTTCTTTGAGGGAGCCTAGCCCAGGAAACCACGTGGCCTGTGAGGGGGTCCAAGAAGGCCATCACATCCACATGGACATGTGTTCTCTTTGCTGACCCCCATACGCCCATGGGGGTGTGAGGTGCTGGGTCCTGGGTCAGAAAGAGCTGCTCCAGAAGCACCCCTGGTTGACAGGCTGGGTGCAGATCTTGCTGGCCCTGCAGTCCAGGAACAGCCTGCGACTCCTTCAGCCAGAGCCAGACCTCAACCACAGACAAACCTCTCTGCATCTGGCCTGAGCAGAAAGTGGAAGATTTAGTGTTTGTATGGAGCTTTCCTTCTTGCTGAGGGCCCTTTGCTTTTGGTTTTAGTTTGAAGGGGTCTCTCTTCACTTTCCATGACAGTGTAGACAGTGCAGTAGCTAATCTCAGCCCAGCCCAGGGTTATCTGGCCATTTGCAGATAACAGATGGGATTGCAAAGACATGAAGGATGACCTTAGACCTCCTCTTGCAGCCCGTGGTGATTTCTCCCTTTAAAGGGCTCTGTGTAAGGGCTTAAGCCATTTTATAGCAATTTAGCATGTGCAATTGGGCTTCCTCGCCAGAGTCCAGAGCTGAAGAGGGAAGAGATGAGGATCACGTCTGCACCCCCAAAACCTGCCTGGCCCTGAGAGATTGCAGCCTGAGGCAGGGAATCAAGGGACTTGTGGGGGCAGAAAGGTGGAAGGTAGATATTGTAGCACTCCTATGGCTGAACACTAAATTCTCCTCTCCTTTCCCTTAAATAATATTGTGAAGGCAGCAAGGCAGAGCTGTGTTATAAACACATCTTATTGGTGTTTGTGTGCCTGATGCACCCACAGTCCCCATCCTCACCAGAGCTTGCTCCCATGGAGAGCTTAACCAAGCTGGGGGTTGAAACTAGATGGTCTTTACGGTCCCTTCCAACCCAAACCATTCTGTGATTCTAAGCTGGAGAGCTTGTCAGGCTCTGCAGAGCCCTTGCAGCTGACGGGTTCAAAGATGGGTTTCTAATGAACTGGGGACTCGCAGGTTTCCCCCCGTGCCCATCGTGACACAGGCTTCCATCTCTTCCAGCGGCGTTTCTGAGACCCGACAGCCCTTTGCGGGTTGCTTTGTGGGCACAGCGGGTTGCACAGAGGCTGGAGTTTAACCCCCGGGGAAGGAGATATCTGCTGAGGTTCCTTGGCCAAGAGCCTAATGCGATGTTCGCGATATCCTTTAAAGTGTTTTCCTGGCAGGAAGCCCAGAAAATGAGAGTTGTTTGTAGGAAAGCAGATGCTGAGGGAAATACAGCTGTCATCTGGGCAGCTCTGAAGTGGTCCCCAGCCCAGGGAGGGACAGGCAAGAAACCTTCATTGTTCCTCATTTTCATCTTAGGATTCCCCTCAAGGGATGAAAGCAATGATTATGGGGAACAGCCCCACAAGGAGCAAATATTTCTCTTTGCCACCCATCCCTTCTGCTCTATCCTACAGAAAAGAAGCAGAAGGGGCCAGAAGGTGGCTTTAGGTTGTCCTCGCTGTTCTGCCTCTGGGAGATGACCTGTGGAGGAAGGAGGGGGTGTGTTGCCCTCCAGTGTGGATTTGGGAAAGACTCAGGATTTCCAGGAATAGAAATAGATCTTGGCTCCTGGTGAACAGTCTTTCCCTCTAGTCCTTAGCTCAAATGAATGCAGGATTTGGTCCTTTCTTGGGTAGGAGGTTATTTTTCAGCAGCTTGGAGAACAAGGAGACTTTAAGAGGCAAAGAGTCACCTGTGTAACCTAAAAGAGGCTGGACTAGTGCTGGTGAAGGGACCCTGGAGCCAGGCTGAAGAGCATGAATTCCTGGGCAGCGGGGTTGGTGGTGGACCCGACGTGGGGACCTGACATGGCTTTTGGGAAGCAGAAATCCAGCTCTGTGGAAATATCTTGGCATTGGTGGTCCAGAAAGTCTCGGTGTATAATCGATGGGATCACACTGCCTCTGCTGTGTTTTCGTGGAAGAGTTTGAGGACATGACACACAGATATCTGCAAGAAAGCTGGAAGGAGAACAGCAATCTCCCTTGAGCCAAGCAGCCATGGTGACTTCCCATCACACACCAGGCAGCAGTACCAAGTGCCCCCTTCTTGCCAAAATGCAGCCCATAAATAATCATGTGTCTGCCTCAGACTGAGATGGGTCTGGATGCAGGTGGTAGGATTTAGTTATAAATTTTCTGGAACTTTCCTGTTTCTTTGCTCCCAGCAGTTTTCAGACTGAGGGTCCATTCTGGGGCAGGAATCTTCTCCTTTCCCACAGCAGTAAGATTTTACAAGCGCACACACACACACACACACACACACACACACAAATCTTAAGATTGAGTGAAGGTCACTCTGTGCAAATTCTACCCTGGGGGGGGCAGGAAAGTTGAATTGCATATGAATCGAGGGAGAAATTAATAATTATATAATTGCAATATAAAGAGTCACTTGGACGATAAGAAGTGCATGGATTTGGACCAGAGCAACGCCTTCATTTTGCCGAATGCACTTTGAGCTTTGCACGGTGTGATAAAAAGAGGAGCAGGCGTTGCACAGTTTTGCAGCAGACCCGATGACCTGGCTCTGCCAGATGCAGCAAAATTGCAACCTCCGCGTTGTTCCTCGAGCAGTGTTTATGTGTCATGTGGACCCTGGAGCTTTGTTTCGTGCTGTATGCTATTTTCCTCAAGAGTTATAAAGGCTGTGACTGTGGCATTTGAAGGGAGTGGCACCGGCTACGAGCTGTGGTGTGTTCTGACCTGGAGGATGCATTGCAGGTTAGACCTGTTGCTCTGCAGAGAGCTGCAGCCTTTCCCCATGCACTGAATTAGTGCCTATCCAGGTGCCTGCTGCAGGGTCTCTACCTTTATGAGGACATTAGAACCCGTTTTAGCTTTAAGGAGATTTAGGATGCTGCTAGATTATTGCGCTTTTTTTCCCCTCCATAGGAATTATCAGTACCATCATGCCAGTGTTTTAAAAAAGGGATTTGTTTTTACACACAAAGCTCTGGGATCAGCGTGACTTGTCACAAAAAAAAAAAAAAAAAAAAAAAAAAAAAAAAAAGACTATAAACCAGACCTACTTATTTATCCTTAAGTAAAAAGAAACAGGAGGTAAAGGAGATCTTAAATGAAAGCATTGTATACCTCTTGTCTGATAGGCCTTAGCTGAGATGAGCTGCAGAGGGCAGGTGATGTCCAGAGATGAAAATCTAGGTCTTAGAGGATGAGGGCCTGAATGCATCTATCGCACAGCTGAAGCTGAACAGGGCATCTCCACCCTCGCATCCTTCACCCCGGCTGCCAGATCTGTGATGAAGACCCAGAGAACAAAATATATAACCCACCACCCACGATGTAACCCATCAGCTGGGGAAGGCAAAGGGCTTGGATGAATATTGGGGGTTTTTTAGCTCAGTCTCCCCCTTCCCAGACAAGACCAAGGCTTCAAGAAGGACAAATGGAGAGGACACAGCTCTTCCCAGACACTTTTTAGGGCATCTCCTTTACCAGGTGGCAGCTCGGTGGCCATCAGAGCTTCCCAGTCTCTGCAGACAGTGTTGATCTTGGGTGGGATTTGATGTACCAAGTGATGATCGTTTGCACACAAACTTCTCTTGTTGCTGTGCAAAAACACAGGGGATGAGGGATGAGGGATGAGGGAGACGGGAGGTAGAGGGCAAAGCTGAGCACTGACTGGAAGCAGCTCAGAAAAGTCTTTAATGACTTGGGGAAGTCCCAAGTCATTAATGTCTTAGGGAATGAAATAGAGCATTGTTATAAATTCTGTGATGACACCGAGTGGAAAGGACTGAAAATCCTCTAGAGGCCAGGATTAGAACTTAGAGTGAACCTGAGAAGTGGAGGAAAAGGTCCAAAATCAATAAGGAAAATCTCAATATAGAGTAAAATCTTATGTATGGGAAGATAAAAGATTAAAGATCAATGACACAAGTAAAATGGACAATCAGTGGGTTAGGACAAAGCTATCGGAGACTGTACAAACAGGGCACAGTACCCCACTTTGCTGCCACTGCAAAATGCCAGGTGTCATCAGGAGTTTTGGGGTAAAAACCCAAACATTACCATTGCAGAGATCAGACTGACTCCAGAGAAAAGCCAGACAGCAAAGGGACAGAGATCTGATGCACAAAGACCCTTTGGACGCAGTGAGGTCCATCAGTCTTCTGGGAAGAGGGGGACACAGTGGCCTTTGGAGAAATAGGTGGTTGCAGCAAGGATGACGCTTGGTTCCTCTCCATGTTCCTGGGGCAGACAGATAGGGAAGAAGCCACCTCTGCAATAAAGGTGCCTTCACACAGATAAAATAATTCAGCAGCAAGCCCAGTGAAAGGTTTAGGCTCCAATGCAGGACCAAACAGAGTCCCTTCAAGCGAATCATTCTCCAAAGTCCACCTGACCCAGCTGCCAACTCACTGCTGGCTTTTCTCTCAGCACAGTGCTGCACAGTTGCCTTCATCGCCCTCTTCTTCACACGTTTCTGGCTGGTCAGTGCCCTCTATGCCGCATGGTGGTTCCTAGACAGGGAAAAACCCAGCAAAGGTGGGAGGCGGATCCACACCATCCGGAACAGCATCGTCTGGAGATACATGAGGGACTATTTCCCCATCACGGTAAGTGCCACTGATCCCATCAGCTCTTAGGAGATTCAGGGACCAACTTTGTCCTCGGTATTGGGAGGCAGCCTGGGGCCAACAGTCATGGCATGGGGTGATGGGGAGGCAGTGCTGAAGGGTTGTCTTCCCAACTCCCAGATTACTGCAAGACCCAGAAAAAATGTGGATGACCATTTTCACAACCCCATCCTTTGATCGTCTGCCTTTTACGCACCCGTTTAACCTCGCTGTATCCCAGCAGTTAGGGAAATCTCCCCTTGCCTGTTTTCCACGTCTGTATCGTGACACTCCTTCAGGATGCTCAGCATTTACCCAGTGAACAGAGGGCCAAGTTTTGACCAAAATACAAGAGGTTCTGGTGCCCTGCAAGGTCAGCATCCCCTTTTGCTGGGAAAGAAGCTGGATGAGTAAAGCTGGGTGTGCACTGGGCAGTCCCACAGAGTTGTTGTTTACCTGAGAAGGACTTCTGTGACATTTCCTGATTTACTTTAATGCATGTAGCCAGCCTTTACCCTTATTCTTCATCTGGTATCCCCTTGTCATGGCATGAATGCATGGACTAGCACAAAGTCCTGCCTCAGAGCCATCACAGGTTGGTACAAATTTGAACAATGCAGCAGAAGAGTTCACGGGCCATGCAAGGGATTGAGTTTTGAGGGTAGACCAAACTATGGGAATTTGTAAGATGAAAATTCCTTTAATGAAGCATTGCCCGTTGAGGGAACTCAGATAAGACACAGGCAGACGGCCCGGAGTCAGGAGTTGGGTGCTGCAGTCCAAGTAAAATGAAATGGGGAGCCCAAACAGCCAAAGGACTCATCAGACCAAAGGAAAAACAAGAGCCCAGCCTAAGCGTCTGTCCTCCATAGAGCAGGGTCTGGGATAAGGATCAGAGAGAACCAGAACAAAGTGAGAACCAGAAATGACATGCCCAAAGTCAGATTTGCTGCTCAACCAGGAATAAGAGCTGGGCCTTTCGAATCCCAACCCTGCACTTCAACAATAAAACATGAGGTTTGTCTCTTCAGTTTGTCAGGGAGAAAAAAACCCCCACACATCCCCAATAAAACACACCCAAAATTTTCAGGACCCTGGAGTGCAGACTGCAGGATTGATGCAGGAGATTAATTTAGGGCAGAAGTCAAGGCTGGGCAAAAAAATGAGAAGTTAGGGTCTGTCTGGATCTCTCCTACCATTTCTGAGTGGATCTTACGCATAGTCGTGTTATAACAAATCAGATGGGCAAAGCTTCCCCTAAAATGACGGTGCCTAAAATGTATCTGCTGGTGCCACATCATCCCCTCTTGCAGGCCAGCAGTCAGTACAATATTGACCCTAGTGCTGCAGGTAAAGGAGGGCTTTGCCGAGACACAACCTTGTTACGCAGACAGCGTGTCCCAGCAAGTGTTGCTCCTTTTCATCAGAGTGGAAACGTCACTTGATATCAAGGCAAAGTGCAACAGTCCCGAAGAGCAACACCATGGACATACTTAGATCTACGTGTGGATCACACCTCCAGAATACTCCAAAAGCAAATGTTGCACCTGGATTTTTTTTTTTTTTTTTTAATTTCACCTGCTTCCCCTCCCCTCATTTCAATTTTCACCTCATCCCCAATATGTCTCTTGGGTTGGTGAAGGGGAAGGAGCAAAGGACAGTGTTGTCTGTCACCGTGTCTGGTTAGTGACAATACCACACTGTGCAAACTGGGATTGCCTCTCACAGGGCTTGGGTGCAACTGGTAGAGATAGATGTGCTGGGTTGAAGCAGACCATCAACATCCCTTTCCACTCCTGCGGACAAGTCAGATAAACCCCCTGAATTTTGTGCTGGAAGCTGTCATACACCAGCCAAACTTCCCATGTCTCATCTGGGTGAACTGCATCTCCAGGTCGCTTCTCTACAAGGACCATCCATCAGTCTACCTTGCGTGTGTCCTACTGCCACTGAGTTTCTTTGCTCAAAGGCATGGCAGAAAGTGATGCTGAGAACCTGGAGTGAGTTATTTTATGGCTCCTCTCAGACCTTAACTTGTGATTTAAGGGCTTCTGGAGGAGCTTCAAAGTCAGGCCCCCAAAAGGTGTTATCATAATTTTCTGGGGAGCGATAGGAACACATCCCAGGAAAGCTTGTGGTGAGTTTTACCAGAAGGGACAGGTAATATTTTTTGAGGTTTAATAGGAAACACCAAGTGAGTTCCTAATAAATTATTCTCAAGCTTGCCTTAGAAAATGCTAGAATCACTATGATCCATTTATGTGGCTGTAGTGATTACCTGCAATATATATTCTATAAATTGTTTGTGGCCTTAAGCTGCCACTTGGGCTGTGTCTGACCAACCTCTCTGCTAAAACTGTGCTGCCAGCTCAGCCCAGCGACAACTCTTCTCCTGTCCCTTTGTAAGGACATGGAAACGCCCTCCTGAACACTACACTGCATTGTCTGTCTGTCCTTCCCTCCAGGGGAAGGGAGGACCTGGCAGGACCACCAGTAAGACCAGTAGAGGGAGCATGGCTACTGGGTTTGGACGCAGCTCATTGGGTGAAGGAAGGGATGGTTCGGCGGAGCCTGTCTCCAGCAGAAAGCAAAAATAAATTAAAAAGAGTATTATAGTCAAGCAACCACATAATACTATTTCCCCAAAACATTTTCTCAGTCTTCCATACTTTGTCTTCTCAAGGACTTTCTAAGCCAGAAGACAGGATTTAGCAGCCCTTGCTGAATGCATCTGCTACCATTTGGCACTCCAAGAGCTCAGAAAACACGCTTGGCATGCCCAGCATCCCGCAGCAAGGAGCTCCCCAGGTGAACCTCACAGTGTGGGGACCTCCCTGCTCCCTCCTCACCTCACTGGAAACTCCCTGGTTAGCCCAAGCAAATCCTGTCCCACCTACCCGTGCTCCTCCTGGCCTTTATATTCTGTTTTATCCCCCATCTGCCTGCTTTTCTTCCACCTAAAACCCCCAGATATGTTTACTCCCTTGCACGGAAGGCATTTCATTTCGTACTGCCAAGCGCGAGCTGGTGATGAACCGAGCTGAGCTTGTTTGGTCCGAGCACGCACAGCTGGACGCTCCCACGGACCTCACACTTGCCAGAACAGGGAATTGGGATCTGGGGACACGCACGAGGTCCCCGGGCCATATTTTTGTGTAGATTGAGTTTGTTCACCCTCGGAGAATCAGTTATTCTGGGAAGATTAACTGTGGCTCTTAATCCTCCCAGATCCCAGCAGCAAATTTAGCATGGCCATGCACTGGTGTTTGGAGGCAGGAAGAGCTGCCTGCTATTTTATTTTAGGAAGTGGCTTTAAATGCTGCCATTAAGGGATCCGTGGGATTGTGGAAGCAAAGAGAGGTTTGAGATGAGCGTCTGTTTTCCGGGAATCTGGGCAGAGTGATTTTGCACTTCGCTGCAGCGAGGGTGGGAGCGTGCAGGCTCTGAGGCGTGCAAGGAGCACCCTCTGCTGATACCATCTTTGCACAAGTACCACTTCACTGCTTGGTTTATTCCCCTTGGAGCTGCCTGTATTTTAGTTAGGGGGTTGGGAGGTACAAGGTCAGGCAGGACCAGTTTAGATGATTTTAAAAGGGGGATGAGAAGAAAGCAATGACAACTCAAGGCAGGGTCCAGTGCATTGCCCAGGAAAGCTATTTCTGCTTCATCCCCCTGTATTTTAACACTGTCCTCCTTTTTTTATACACTCTCATGATAGTCCTGAAATTCTTAAAATTGAGGAAAATATACCAAAAGATCCAAAATGAATCTGTTCGGGACAGTCTGCATTTGAACAGATATCCAGTGATGCCTGCTCTGGGTTGATGTTGCCCCCAAATAGATTTTGGATACCGTGGACTGCTCTAGCTATGCCACGTTCAAAAAGCAGTCAGTAATCTGTCTGCTGCTGCCAGGTCTCTGCCCAAACCCTCGTCTTCATTCGCACAGTCCTTTCCCCATCGTTTATCAAGGTATCTTTATGAAGCATTGCACTAAAAAGCATTACACTCAGCATTACACTAAAAACAAATTTCTCTCTCACGTGGCCAAGCGCAATGCACATCTTCAGGGGTTCTTCTCCCCAGGCCCTCCTGCCACGCTAAGACTGCTGTCACCAACCTCCCTCATACAGCCAATGTGCTTTGGTAACTTTGGCTGAGGAGAACCATGGATGTGCAGAAGGTGAGGATGGGGGTGAAATGGGGAAAACATAACCTTGACTAGATCCATCTCTACCGTAGTCCTCAAACAGGTCACCGTCCTTCTTGCTGACTATAAATAGGGGCTGGATGCTTGGCTTAGGCAAGACATTTTTCATGTTTAGATCACACAACCCAGGTTCCAAGTTAAATCTAGCTCAGGAAACAAAAATCAAGGTCTTAGAGGGACAACTTTTGTCTTTGGGTGCTGTCATCGTTCAGAGCAACCCCAGCAGGCACCACCTTACCAGGTTTATTCAGGGCAGCCTGAAAAGTGCCTGCTGTGTGGAGAAGGTCACTGTGGTCTTCACTGCCCCGTTTTCCCCTTGTGAAGAGCCACAGGACATTTCTTACTAGCCTTGGGATTATCTAAATGCCAGTTGGACCTTATCCATAGCAACTGGCAGAGTCCCAGCCTCTGTCATTGTGCTTGGGGACTTGCTGGCGTTACTGTTTTTTTTTTGTCAGCATAACTAAAATGAGTTATCGGAGAGTTGGTTGAACCCTAGCAGCTGTGATTTGGATGGCTCCATCCCATAGCTCATTCATTCTCATAATTGCATAAGCCGTGACGGGGGTTATTTGAGTGTGTCAGCATTCTGGGCCAGTACGAGGTATTGCAGAGAGGGGACAGCTTTAGTTCACATGAACCAAACCCTGCCAGCAATGTTTCCTTTCTTTTCACAGAAGAGTGGTATTATTTGTAAATGAGGATTTTATGCCATGGCCCATGATATTAAATGTAGTTTCTGATTTCCAGCAGTCTTGGCTGTTCACTTTGCTTCCTTCTGTTGGCTGGAG